TTTATTATTTTCAGGAGGTTTTCTTAATTATTCACTCCATTATCTTTCTTGGCACCGAAGTTAAGTTGACTGGCATACAACTCTGCCTTTGGATTTACTTCTCAATAATCTAAGAATGTGTCCAGATGTTTTCTGGTAACTTCCAATTGACTTCCTTCAGGGAAACCATAAGTGAAATATACGGTACTATGAAAATGAAAGCATGAGCTACAGAAAAATGCTGATAATATTCAGTACACAAAGCCCAACACATCAGGATCCAGCTTTGTTTTTATTTTTTTTCAAATAAGTTCACTGTGGCTACGTCTACACTGGCCCCTTTTCCGGAAGGGGCATGTAAATTTCACCAGTCGTCGTAGGGAAATCCGCGGGGGATTTAAATATCCCCCGCAGCATTTAAATAAAAATGTCCGCCGCTTTTTTCCGGCTTTTAAAAAAGCCGGAAAAGAGCGTCTAGACTGGCCCCGATCCTCCGGAAAAAGTGCCCTTTTCCGGAGGGTCTTATTCCTACTTTGAAGTAGGAAGTGCCCACTTTTTCTGGAGGATCGGGGCCAGTCTAGACGCTCTTTTCCGGCTTTTTTAAAAGCCGGAAAAAAGCGGCGGACATTTTTATTTAAATGCCGCGGGGGATATTTAAATCCCCCGCGGATTTCCCTACGACGACTGGTGAAATTTACATGCCCCTTCCGGAAAAGGGGCCAGTGTAGACGTAGCCTGTATGTTTAGGGTACGTCTACACAGCAGAGCTAAAGTCAGAATAAGCTACACAACTTCATCTACGTCAATTGCATAGCTTAAGTCGAAATAGCTTAACTCGGATTTTGGCACTGTCTACACAGCAGGAAGTTGAAGGAAGAACACTGGAACCAATGGGAGCCATGAGGCTCTGTGGCCATGGTGCTGGTAAAGAAGCACTCCGGCGTGGCCAGTTAGCAGCTTTCTTAAAGTGGTTTCATGGACCACTTCGCGAAACTCTGACTTAGGTGATTAAATCAAAATGTGTATAACATAGATTTTAAAGATAGAAGTAGCAGCAGGAGCCATAATACGCTATGGAAAACTGGGCCAGGTTATGTGCTGAGCAGAATTTCCATTTGGTTCTCTTTGTAGTCATGGTGATAAGATGTCTATAGAGTCTGTTATAGCTCCCTGATTCTCTCTACCAAGCATTAGCATGGATAAAGGTAACTGGAAGCTGCCAAAATATGTGCCAGCTGGCAATGTCCCCAGTAATGATCCATCAGCTAAGGATAGCTGAGAAGTAATGTACTTGACCACCTGGCTTTCCTGGTATTGCTCACTTCCAACACTCCCTTCTGTTCCCTGTTTTAGGAGATGTGAGAAAACTGTCACTGCAGTCAGGTATACTGATTCTACATATATTGGCTATGTCTAGACTACATCCCTTTTTTGTAAAAGAGATGTAAATTAGACGTATCACAATTGCTAATGAAGCGGGGATTTAAATCTCCTCCACTTCATTAGTATAAAAATGGCTGCCGCTTTTTTCTGCACGAAGCTTTGTTGGAAAAAAGCGCCAGTCTAGACGCTGATCTTGCGGAAAATAAAGCCTTTTCCAAAAGATCCCTTATCCCTCTATGAAATAAGGGATCTTTCGGAAAAGGCTTTAATTTCTGCAAGATCAGCGTCTAGACTGGCGCTTTTTTCTGACAAAGCTCCGTGTGGAAAAAAAACGGCAGCCATTTTTATGCAAATGAAGTGGGGGAGATTTAAATCCCCGCTTCATTAGCAATTGCGATACGTCTAATTTACATCTCTTTTACGAAAAAGGGATGTAGTCTAGACGTAGCCATGGAGATCCTCCCATAACAAGGCTTCCCATAAAGGTCATAGGGTAATAGTCCATATCCTCTACGCCACCACAGCAGTGCAAAGAGGATGCCGATTGGCAATGAATCTCCCCATTCTGTTCAGATAGGAGGAATTAATATAAAAGAATAAGTGAAAAAAAACCCTATATGGCTGAAATCTTAGCTTTGCTGACTCCTATTGGAATTTCACCATTTATGTCAACAAAGGTAAGATTTCACTCAATAAGTGATGTTTTTTTACCCCTTTCATAGCATACCAAGTCTTTTATCTGAACTTATTTTTATCTCTGTAATTACTGCTCTCACAATATTAGTCCATAACCTACCTGTTTATGTGTGTGGATACAGGTATATACATCTTAAATGTTTTCATTCATCCCCTGTATTGTATCACTGCATATTTATAGTCAGTCCCTGATTTTTACATCATGTCTTCTCTCTTGCCCAGTGACCAATATTGCAACTACACAATTTTCCTGATATTCCAAAGAATACTCTAGCATCCTTCATAGGTAGTGCTTCATAGGTATTGTATGTGTGTTATAAGGGGGTGGGCACTTTTCTACCAGCTGGGAGAGATTCACTGCTCTGTCCTCAGCAGAGAACTGCTTCTGTAGCTGAAGGAGAAATGCCCTTCCCCCAGCCAGGCAGTTCCATGCACAACAGCCCTAAACCCTTGGGTGGGGCTCATTAAGCAGTTGTGGGGCAGTATTGCTGCACAGCTTAGGGAGAATCGTGGGGGTGGGTAGCAAGAAAATGTCAGAAGAGTCTCCATTACACCTATTAGCCTGTGATTGACTCAAATCTTTCCATCCATGTCTTTCCTGAATTTTCTAGGTGGTTTTACTTCCTGTGTGCTAGAAACACAATTTCAGCTTACTGACAATCAGAAAATGAGCCAAATTCTAATCATCCATATGGACAAACTGAGAACTCCTAGAATAACGATTTTGCAGGTCTTGAATCTTTTCCACCTCTTGCATTTTGTCCAAAGAGATGTGAGAACTTGAGTAATTCTGGTACATATAGTAATTACATCCTTAAAACATTTCAAAATTACAGCCTTATAAGAAATTACAAACCACATAATGTATTTTGTATTTTGCATGTATTTTTCTACTATGCTATTAAGAGAGATCATTTTTTAGAAAAAAAATGAAATAGAATTTTGGCATTCTAATAACTTGAGAGTTATTTTAGATGGAGTATATGGGCAAAGGTATTAATATAACCAAGTCACCATCCATCATTATACAGCTGGAAAAATGGTTCAGGGTTTGGTATACAGAGACCTCAACCTTTTTAGTATAATAGAAAACCATTAACAATACTTTTAACCTTTTATAAGAAGAAAAGAAGCAAGAACAGTTAAATAATTAGAAATTTAAAGTATTAAATAAGGCTTTCATTTTAACAATAAACCTTTTTCTGCAACTGGAAACAGTGTTAGATGGGAGGAAGGGGGAACTTAGGGTTAGATGGTATCAGATATGAAAATAATTTTCCTTTCTGGGGAAAAGAGGAGTTAATTGAAATAGGCAAGAGTTGATTTTGTTTCTGCTTTTTTAAAAACCCAATCCCACTTCATTTCAGATGGTATTTGAGATTGAGTTAGCATTGGTAGGGTATGTCTACACTGTGGGCAGAAGTCAAATTAAGATATGCAACTTCAGCTACATCAATTGTGTAGCTGAAATCAAAATGGCTTAATTTGGCTTTTGGTGTGTCTACACAGCAGGAAGTCAAAGGAAAAACACTCTTCCTTTGACTTTCCTTACTCCTCGATAAAATGAGGATTACTACAGTCAGAGTAAGAAGCCTGTTATTTCAAAAATATTTCAAAATAATGGGCTTGCTGTGTAGACACTCACTTTGTTATTTTGAAATAACGTTAGTTATTTCAAAATAACACTTCAGTGTAAACATAGCCATACAGACATATATATCATCTATCATATATATCACTTCTCTCTGGCCCATTGTGGTCAGGACATCTCTCAAGGGCAATGAAGGCCATGTCTCCCAGGAGAAGGCAATGATGGTGAAGCTCACTCTAGTAGTTTCCATCTGTTCTTCAACATTTTCATTAAAAAGCTTATTCTTTAAGAACCAAAGGGGCGTGATGAGTGGAATAGCAACCCCCTTATCGTTTTGTCCACTAATTAGACCCAGTTTTTGACACATACGTTTTAGTTAGCTGACTTTTGGACCCACATTTTTCTATTTAACAAAGATTATGGTGCTCTATGGAAAGGATGATGACCTTTTATATCATTGTTACAATCACTGTTGCACAATTGGACTGTATTTGATACAAAGTATGTCATATAAGATATCAATGGAAAGGTTACAATCTATCAAGTGAGATTACTCTGGTTAAATCCATGTATTATCACTATATCTGAAGTTATAACTATTTGCCAAGTATTTGCATCTTAGGCTATGTCTACACACCAGTGAAAAGTCAGAAAAAGATATCCAAATTGTGAACTGCAATTTGCATATCTTTTCCAGCTTTTTTTCTGAAAGATGCTCTTCTGAAATTTGGCTCATGTACATGGGACCAAATTTCATAAAAAACTCCTCTTTGGGACATCCCTTATTCCTCTCACCGAGAGGAATACAGGGATGCTGAAAGAACATGTCCGGTTTTTTGGAAACTGTTCCAAAAAAGCAGACCCGTTCCTTGGATGCAGAAGAGCTTTTCCGGGATACCTCTGATATCCTGGAAAAGCTCAGAAAGTTAGATATAGACTTAAATGTGTTTGTCTTTTGTGGGTGAGACCCACAATATAGCTTATATCCAACCTCATCAATGCATTATGAATAATCATTCAAGGTAGGCCAGTAAACAGAATCAACTCATCAGAACATAAGAACAGATATTGGGTCAGACCAATGGTCCATCTAGCCCAATATCCTGTCTTCTGACAGTAGCCAGTGACAGGTGCTAGAGGGAATGAACTCAACCTGTGATCCCCAGGTGATCTCCCAACTCTCAGGATTGTTCTTCCTGATATCAAGGAACCAATGGATACCTCTATGATGCAACAAAACATGTAAGAGCATGTGACATGGATATGTAACCTCAGGCTTAATCTTTGTCAATAACTTTCCATACACAGGGGCTGTGGGCTTCCTTTGTACATGGCAGAGGAGATAAAAGACACCAGATCTGTTTCCATTTTGCTTAATTCTTGCTCGAATTATCTAGACTATGGATTTATAACTAAAAGCAATATTTTGAACAATGTACTGAAAACATTCTAATCTTTGGCAAGTTACCAGAGAGACTTTTGTAAATCAGGATATTTGGGTAAGATCTGAGCTTTATATTGACCTGTGGGTGAGTGTCTGATCCTTTGGGATTAAGTGTGCTCTCACATATGTTGAAATAGGTTTTCAATAACTCTCTCATAATATTAGATTTGTTTGTCTTGACAGTTCCAAGGGAATGCCTATAGGGGACTGTGTCTGGTTTTTGCTTCACTAGTGTGGTACTGCAAAAGATCTTTTGTTACTGACCTAGTTGTTGCCAGCAAGAGTAATTCTCAGGTCTGACACTGGGTTCTTGAAGTACAAAACATGCTGCACAAGTATCTGTCAAACACAAGCAGTTTATTTCCTGACAGTTTTCAGCTGTGACCCTTAATTAAAAGAACAACATGATAAGAAAAGCGACATCTTACATCCCTTCTGCTAGCTGGGAACCCCGTGTCAGCTGCGGATGAGTGGGAGGTCGTTTAGGCTTCTGAGGTACCGATAACAGAGTCCATCGGTGAGGTCCAAATTGCCATATTGTGATGCAGCTTTAAATACAGTGTCTCTACCTTGTTTTGCAGTTTGGAATTTTCCAGGGGTTACTTAATGTTTGCTAATGTATGTCTCAACTGTTAACTATCGATTTGGTACTACTTATCCTTTGAGCTTGTTTACATGATCAGTACATCTGGGTAAACAAA